TGCAGAAGATCCTCCAAATCTAGTGAGAAGACAGATGCATCAACATTAGCATCCTCCTACAAGCAAACACCTTGAGCAATGAGGGAATGATCATCTAACATCAACTTCATTGGGCCGGCCATGTCATCTGGATGTCTGACTCCAGACTCCTGATGCAAGTTTTATTTTCCCAGCTCAGAGAAGGTGTACAGTCAAGAGTCACCACCGTAGATAAGGGAGGAGGAGGGTAGAAGGCAGCTGGACCATGCCAAGGGGTGCAGAGCATGCTACCGGGAGCACAGCACCCCACCGTCACCAGTACCTGGAAGCAGGCGAACTTGGCCCCTATGTTCTGCTCCTTCAAGTGCAGCCTCGCCTGCCGGAAGAGGATGCCCAGCGCCCACAGCCCAAAGACGGTGGAGATGCCCAGGAAGGTGTTGATCCAGAGGGACACACTCTGCGCTGAGATCTGCCCAGGAGGGAGGCAGAGAGGCAGTGGCTCAGCAACCAAGGGAACCCCCTGGTGAAGCTAGCTTGCCCCCCGATCCCCCCTGCATGGAGCCGCAGGCACCAGAGGAGCGAGATGCTACCACGGCCCCACCGCACTGGATGCCTCCGGACCCTGCGTGCTTTTGCCACCGGCAGCACTCACATCAGCCGGGTCGTAGTTCCCGTCGGCTGCCAGCACCAGCCCCACGAAGACACCGGCTATCTTGAGGAAGGCATACTGGAAAGAGCCCAGGAGCAGCAGCCTCAGTTTCCTCCTGTGACAGGGAAAGAGAGATGCCCATGGAGAGCCCGCATGCCAGAGCCTTGCAAAAATGTGAGAAGCGGCCCCTGCTAAGCCAGGTGCAGGCTGAGACCAGCAAAGGCCATTCTCCTCCGCGAGGCCACCAGGTCTGCAGGACTGGCTCCCGGCATCAGAGCTGCCATTGACTGGCTCGGAGTATGGGCCTGTCTTGCCCTGGCTCGTGGGCCGTGCCTCAGCCTCCCCACGTACTTGGTCATGGTGATGCGGGGGCAGCAGGGGCAGCAGCAGCAGCAGGGCCCGGTGCTGATCACCATCGGCGTGTCCTTCAGCGCCCGCAGCACAGCCGCCGGCCCGCCAAAGCCCTCCACCATGGTCAGCATCAGCAGGTGGAAGCACAGCGCGAAGTACCTGGTGGCAGAGGAGCGCGATGGGGTTGGTGTGGGGCATGCCCAGCCCCAGAACCTGGTGGCACCAGCTGCCCACATGCCCCCAGCTACATGCTTGGCGGCATGGGGCTGCTCAAGGGGCCTCTGACAAGACAGGTTCACCCCCGCATCCTGCCCCTGAGTCTCCTGGCCCCTTGGTCTATGCCCCAGCATCTCTATCCCTCCCTGCAGCCAGCTGGTGACCCCCTCGAGCTCTTGGGCTTCGCCGGCATTGTCCTTGCCCATGACACTCACGAGCCAATGGCCATTTCCACCACCATCATGGAGCGCGGGATCCAGAGCCCAAAGCAGCAGAACACGGCGATCACCTGGGGGGGGATGCACAGGAGCCACCACATCGTGACCCCCAGGCCAGGGTCCGGACCCGCCCCCCCCAGCCCACCCCAGAGCTTGGCACCTGCCCTGGCACGTCAGTCCCGGCTGCGGAGGCCGGCTGGAGAGTGTGAACCTGGCCCCTGGTCAGCCTCCCAGCACCCCAAAGGCAGGAGGATGCTCTGAGCATCATGACCTGAGCCCCTGGCTCTAGTTTGGCCTCACCCAGCATCCCAGTGCCAACACCCGGTGACCTTGGGCGCAAGCTGCAGTGCGGGGGCAAGAGCAAGCCAGGGCCAGCATCTCCCACCCTCCGCTCCTCTCCTACAGCAGCATCCGGGCCGCAGCAGCTAGGCAGCTCGGATGCAGAGGCTGCTCCACCCGCCATGCTGTCCTGCAAGGATGTGGCCCGTTGACCCGGCCGGAGCTTCCAGCCTCTGCACCCCCCGCCTCTGCGGTGAGGGGTGCTGACCATGCCGGCTGCAGCAGCACCTCCCATGCCTCTCACAGGGTTTTGCAGCCTGGAGGTCACTGGAGGAGGTGGCCAGCCATGGGCCCGTCTCCCGCCACCATCATGCCCCACATGGCCAGGGCCCGGTGCTCACGGTGGGCGCCGAGCTGCTCCACAGCAAAGTCTTCCTCTTGACAGGGCAGCGGATCTTCTGCACCAGGTAGACGGCCTCCTCTGCGAAGATGGCAACCGACAGCAGCGTCAGGAAGGTGGCCATGCTGGTGATGGTGAGCTCCACTGCGTCCAGCTCTGCTGGGGACGGGCACAAGTGAGAGCCCAGAGGCCTGGGGGTGCCCATCTCCAGGGGCATCTAGCAAAGTTGTGCTGGTTCCCATGCCCTTCCTTCACCTTCCTCAGGGCTGGTGCCCTGTCCCCACTGCCCCACCTGGCTCCCAGACACACAGGTCATGCCCCAGCCCCTATTCCCCCGGCAACCCCGTACCATGCAGCAGCTGCCAGGAGGTGGGCGGCTTGGAGAAGCAGGCAGCCGGGACGCTGAGATTCCTCATCAGCATCTCGATCACCTCGGGCGGGAACCTGCAGGAGAACAGGTGATGGGGTCCTGAGCCCAGCTGGGAGTGGGGACCTCCCTGCGGTGCTGCAAGCTTCCCCAGCAGTGCCTCCGGCCCCAGGGGCTAAAACTGCCAGACCTCACTGCATGCAACTCGGGGCCTGCTGCTGCTGCTTTGCAGAGCTCTCCAGGCCTGGAAGTCTCTTGAGGGGATCCCACTCTCCCTCCCTACCAGCCACGTCCCCCAGAGCAGCCAAGGGTCAGGCAGGGACTTCCCGGAGGTGAGCTGGTCTGGCCTGTGCAGACCTGTGTTTCCGTGGGGCTGAGCCCCACAAAGGGGGTTTGTCTGGGCTGGTTTGGACAGAGCTGATGCTGCCTGAGGCAGGGGGTGGACAAGACATGACCTCTGGAGCTGCCAGCCCCACTCCTCTAGGACCTGATGACCTGGGCCAGGCTCAGCTGAGTCTCTGGGCGTTGTCCCAGGGTGCATGAGTCAGCCCCAGAGTGCATAGCACCAAATCGGTGACGGGGGCACAGCCACCTTCCCCCCCCCACACATGTGCAGGACACGCTTGCCCGATCATCACCCACCTGCTGTCTGGCAAGAGCTCTGTGTTGGGCTCCATGCTGCCTGTCTCTCCTGCCGCGGCTTGTCCCAGTCCTGCTCTTCCGGCCCGGCAGGGTCAGAGTCCTCGAGGGCCGTGGCCTGGGTGAGGGCTGTGCTTTGCTCAATGCCCACATGCGCCCCGCTGCTTTCTGCACGCGGAGGCGCTCATTGGAGCAGCCGCATCCTCCCACGCCCCAGCAAGGCGCAGCAAGGCCCTGCCTGCCAGGTTGTTGACCTGGGAATGGGCAGGGATTTATAGCCCCAGCCGATGTTCTGGGTCTGCTGGAGAGCAAGGAAAGGGGCTGGGCCCCTGGGTACAGCTTCCAAAGCAGCTGGTTTGCTTCGGAGGCCATGGAGCAGCACCTGTGGCTAAAGGCCCATTGCTCAGGATGCATGAGGCCGGACAGTCAGCTACAGGTGGCGGGGTCCCACCTAGCATACTCCAGCATCCCTGTGGATGGCACCAAGGCACCAACCACTTGGACTCAGGGTCTGGTCTGGGTGCGAGTGCAGCCGCATCCCGGCAGTGCTGCTGGTTCTCGACTCCACGAGGGATGCATGGAGAGATGAGGCCTAACCCGGTGACACCAACAGGGCCACTCGTCTGCACCCCGAGTCAGGGGCTGCAGACAATAGAGCCGTGCTGTGCTCCGTTGCGAGTGGCAGCTGGATGCCCGGTCCCAGCGGGATGTCATGCATGCCCCGTCATCCGTTTCTCTCTGAGCAAGGTGGGGCATCACCCTCCATCACCTGTCCTGGGGGTCTTGTCCTAGGACCCCATATGCCTTCCCTGGGTGGCAGCTCCGCCACGTGTCTGCCTTAGAGGCAGTTTCCCCGCACCCACATGGCTGCAAGGGGTTGGGTTCGGGGTTGCCAGGATGGACATCACTGCTCAGATGCCTGGTCCCTGGAGGGAGCTGTGGGATCTGGGCTGAAACTATCCAGCTAAGCTGCAAAAACTCTGTCAGGCTCTAGCCAGGGAGGCTGAGATTTTCTCCTGCAACACAAGAGGGCAATGTTAACCAACTAATGAGGAGCTGGAGCCTTGGCCCTGGTGCCCAGACTGGCCCTTCCTCTCCCTTCCCAGCCCCCGGCTCTGCAAAGCGGTGGCTGCCCAGGCTGGACAGCTGCACTGACCGAACGAGCCTTAACGGACAGAACCAGACAGGCTGCTCAGACCTCCAGGACCGAGCCAGGATGGGCTCCCATGGAGGAGGTGAAGCAGCCGAGACATGTAGGGGTACTTGGTCCCCAAAGCACACGAGCACCTGGAGCGTCCAACCCACCAAGAACAGAAACCCAATGCACCCAGCTCCATCCCGCCACTGGCAGCAGAGACAGCTTGCACTGCAAACAGGACATTGTTCCCGACACCGCTTCGGATGCTAAGACCAAGGCTGTGTTTCTCAGAGGGGCTAGGCAGCCACATGCTGGCTCTTGCACCGGCAGGCTCTGGCCCGTCAGGCCACCTAGGAGCTGCTAGCAAAAGGAAGGGTCCCTCATTAGCTCACGAGCCAGGTCACAAGGCAGCAGAGAGATGCCCGTGAGAGACCTCAGCTGGGTCTTCTGATGCTTTGTTTCTCCATGAAGGGCCAGTGCCAACACAGTCTGGAGGAGTTGCTGCAGGGCCTGACCAGCCCCTGCCCCAGGGGTCTCAAAGAGGAGCCAGAGCTGGGGGCAGGGGTAGCAAAGCATCTGCCCTTCCTCCAGAGAGATGACATGACAGCAGACATGACCTGCTGGGCACAGCCCAGTCGCAACGGAGGATGGCTGGTGAGGGGAGAGGGCTCTCTGGTGAAGGGATGCACTCAGGGCTGTCCAGCTCCAGCAGTGGCAGAGACAGGGAGAGCCCCCAAGTCACCTAGTCTTTTGCCCAGCCCCTTACTGCTGAGGTCTCAGCCGCTGGGTTTCCTCTCTCCGTTAGCTTCTGGCAGGGGGAGAGCAGGAGCTCGGTCTGCGTACAGAGAACAGCTCTGGGTGTGCATCCAGAGAAGCTGATAGGGAAGACCTGACACCTCTCTGGGAGTAGGGAGCACAGCTGCCTGCCCTTCATGGAGGGCTTGGCCCAACACAAGGCGCACAACAAACCCAGGGATTTCCAGCTGGCATTTAGAGGTCAAAAGCCTCTAGCTCAGATGCCGGCTGGCTGGGCGCTTAGCAGCAGAAGCATGGCTCCAGTATGTGTCCCCAGTCAAAAGATGAGTGAAAGCTCAGAGCTGGCATTTTCCGAGGGGCCCTTGAGCTTAGAGGATGGATATGTCCGGGCTGGTTTGCACAGGGCTGATCCTGCCCCGGGCAGGGCTTGGACTAGGTGTGACCTCTAAAGCTCCCTTCCAGCCCCACTCTCTAGAGCCCGTGAACAGGCCGGGCTGAGAGAGGAGTGGAAGGTGGGGCATGTTGTTAGTCCTGGTCACCCAGTTTTGAGGACTTTGCCAGGCAGACTGGACCTCCTCCTATGAGCCTGCAGCTTCGGCAGTCAAAGTAACTGGAGATAAGTGAGATTTTGTTCAATCTCTTCATTAACGATCTGGAAGATGGGAAGAACTGCACCCTCAGCAAGTTCAAAGACGACCCCAAGCTGAGGGGAGTAGTAGATACACTGGAGGACAGGGTTAGGATTCAGAGTGACCTGGACAAATTGGAGGATTGGGTCAAAAGAAATCTCATGAGGTTCAAAAAGTCCTGCACTTAGGAAGGAGCAATCTCATGCACTAGGACAGGCTGGGGGCAACAGGCTGGGCAGCAGCTCTGCAGAAAAGGACCTGGGGGGACAGGGGACAAGAAGCTGGACAGGAGCCAGCAGTGTGCCCTCAGTGCCAAGAAGGCGACCGGCATCCTGGGCTGCATCGGTAGGAGCGTTGCCAGCAGGTCGAGGGCAGTGATTCTTCCCCTCTATTCAGCACTGGGGAGGCCACATCTGGAGTCCTGAGTCCAGTTTGGGCCCCAACTACAGAAAGGATGCGGACATGTTGGAGAGAGTCCAGTGGACGGTAATGATAATGTTTCAGGGCCTGGAGGCCAACAAGCTCAGTAGATGTCACTGCATGAGAAGCATCACCCCCTCCAAAATTTAGGGTAGGTATTTCAGTGCTGCTTCAAGGGAGGGGGCTACCTGGTTTCTGCACCTCAGCACCACGCTCTCAGAGCTCGTTGTCCGTGTCCCAAACGTCACCAGACAAGGCATTGGCAGCCTCCTTAATCGTCCACGTTGCCATGGCCAGCTGGTTCCTGAACAGGTCCTGGTCAAAGGCACTTTTGTTGGTCTTCAGGAGGCTCAGGTGGTCCAGCAGGGCCTGCAGGGTGTAGGGGCCGGAGCCAAAGAAGATGTGCCGCAGCGGCTTGTCCCTCGGAGAGATGAAGGGGGACAGGAAGTCGTACTCCACCTGAAGGAGAGCAACAGGGAGGAGTTCAGAGCAGCTCTCGCATCAAGGCAAGAACAAGCCAGCAGTCACCCAGGCGGTAGGGATGCAGCCTATGCCAGCAGCTAGTCCAGGAGTTCCTGGCTACACCTAGACTTGTCACTAGAGGAGGACGGCTGCGACCAGCATGTGGACAGACAGCGTCTTGAGACAGACCTGAACAAGCTGTCATGGCAGTTTAACAGGCACGCAGCGATACAGATCTCCTGGACCCTTTCTCCAGGACTGGGTCAAACCAGACTTGCTGCAATGCCTCCGGCACCGGGTCACAGTGCACAGAGCCAGCCCTTGGCGGGAGGGGGAAGGCTGTGGAGGAAAGCGTGAAGCTGTCTGCCTGTGCAGCCACTTGAGGATCACTCACCTTCACGATCCGGTCATTGCTGGCTCAGCAAAGGAGCTTGTTGCTTAAGTTGTTGTTTCTCAAGTCTCTCTTCAGGGCATCCACAGCTCTCTCGAAGGCCCCGCGGGCTGAAAACACCCACTTTAAGGTCAGGCCCATTCTCTGGCAGGGAAGAGCAGTGCCGTGATCACCAACTGGGTTGCTTAGCATGCATTTTGCAGGAGGCTTGGTTTATTGCAACTCCAATGCAAGCCCGTGACTATAGCTTTGGAAAAAAAACAGTTGCCAGCAGCATCCTGCTGAAGCCCTGCTAGTCACGGCAAGTGGCAACCCAGCTCCCACAAACCAGCACCCGTTGAGGTGCAACAGCACTTGGCACAGGCAGGCTGGACATAGTTTCATAGTTTCTAGGGTCGGAAGGGACCTG